TTACTCTGGGCTGCTAGGGGTTGCAGCGGGGTTACTCTGGGCTGCTAGGGGTTGCAGCGTGTGGGGGTTACTCTGGGCTGCTCGGGGTTGCAGCGTGCAGGGTTACTCTGGAGGTTACTCTGGACTGCTCAGGGGTTGCAGCGTGCGGGGATTACTCTGGACTGCTCGGGGTTACACAGCCTTCTACGTAGCGGCACCTGCCGAGGTATAGATATACTGTATAGTTTATGTCTTATTGTATGTTTTAATGTTCTGTGTTGTTTTTATACTGCGATATGATTAGAGAATTGAAGAAACACAACACGTTTCAGTATAGGACCTTAAATAGACTTAATTTCTTATAACATTCTTCGTTTCTTGTCAATCTTGTACAATTCAATATTCATTATTTCTCGTTAGTATTTAATTTCAATTCAGCGCTTTATGTGTTTCGTACTTAAATAAATTTATTTGTGAAAGTAATTTAATTTGAATCTCGGCACGCAAGGTCATCACATAATACAAGTTTTTAAAATATTATTCACTTATCAACAAATTTCAATTTAGTAAAATCGTTGAAACATGTCAACAAAGTTCAACTTGATGGAATAGCAGTAGAAAATCAACAAACTTCAACTTGATAGTAAAGAAGTCAATTGTCAATGAGCTTTAATCCCATCATGTATCTCAAGTCTGTGCGGACAAAATTGAATTTCGTAATTTCGATTAAAATCGTATCCTTTGACGATTGTAATCCGCTTGCGTATTGATTTCAAATTCACATCCTTTGCACAAACAGAAAATTTTGCTTTTTTATTACAGAAAATTTTGCTTTTGTCGAAGCTCACATTAGGAGTCACATAAGGAATTGGAGCGAAACTGAATGTGAACTTTTTAGCTTCATAGTTTATATACTGTATATATTTCTAGGTTTATAGTTTATGTACTGTATATATTTATAGGTTATATATTGTATATATTGTATAGGTTTATAGTTTATATTTTGTATATATTTTAAAGGTTTATAGTTTATATACTGTATATATTTTATAGATTTGTAGTTCTAACCAATATCTTTTTAAACCAATATCGCTGATTCGTTTCATCTGCAATCGGAAGAGAATGTTAAAAAAAATTTAATCATCAAACGTGTGTAGTTCAAGCGCGTTTTGGGAAATTTTTCTCTTTTTGAACCATTTTTATATTTTTTTACTTTTTCTTTCGCCCATCAAATCAGCGCTCTATCACCAAAGTTTTTTGTGAACAAAAAAGAAAAAAGAAGGCACGAACAAAATAAATGAATGTCGGCACCATCAACAGAAAAACAAGAAAAAAAATATAACTCAGTACTCACTGCAGTGAGTGACAGAGAGCGCATTTCCTCGTCCACGAAAACTTGAGGTCACGGACGGACGGACAGACAGACAGACGGACATGGCGAGTACAATAGTGCATTTTTGCCATAAATGAGAAAATGCGCTAAAAATGAATGCAGGTGTTTGTTGTGTTGTAATATATTCATTAGTCGCGGTGTGATCTGGAATTACCTGAAGGGTGCGCTCTTATATTTAAATATTTTCTCACATTAGGCTGATTTTCTGCCGTTAAAGAGTGAATGTTTGTAAGAATTCAGGCGCTGTAAATGTCTTTACGCATTCAGGCCTTAAAATGAATGAAAAAACTATTCACACTTCAAATTGTCGGAATACCAAATGAAAAAGCGATAATAGAACGCATTTATTCGATATAGAAACACCAACAAAATCGTTAGAACATCAAACCGATGATAATCGAATAATTACATCAGGTCGTTAGTAACTCACATAAAATCGTTTAACTCAAATAAAATACTTAGTAAATCACGTAACATCGTAAGTCTTGCGCATAAAATCGTTACTAACTTGTATAAAATCGTTAGTAACACACATAAAATCGTTAGTAACTCAAATAAAATACTTAGTAAATCACGTAACATCGTAAGTCTTGCGCATAAAATCGTTAGTAACTTGTATAAAATCGTTAGTAACTCACAATAAAATCGTTGGCAACACACATAAAATCGTTAGTAACACACATAAAATCGTTGGTAACACACATAAAATCGTTAGTAACTCACATAAAATCGTTAGTAACTCACATAAAATCGTTAGTAACTCACATAAAATTGTTAGTAACTCACATAGAATCGTTCGTAACTCACATAGAATCGTTCGTAACTCACATAAAATCGTTAGTAACTCACATAAAATCGATAGTAACTCACATAACGACTCACATAAAATCGATAGTACTTTACTTACCATCGATAGTAATGTATTATTAGCCATTTTTACGAGTTTTATTTATAATACCCACATTACCCACAGAGTAAAACAAACAAGATTGAAGATGAAAGAGACTGGAACTGAGATTTTAATGCAAGACAAATTAACAACAAGGTGGGCTTTGGATATAGATATGAAGATGAAAAAATAGTGTAAATAATAAATAAATAGTGTAAATAAATAATAATAATACCCTTGGCCACGTGCGTATTTGCAGCGGGGATCAGCCGGACGATAATGATCAACGTTAAAATTGTGTGCGCGACGTTAACTTTTTAACGGTGATGCCAAGGTAAAGGTAAATTATAATTTTATAACAAATAAAACTCGCAAAAATGGCTAACACTACATTACTATCGATGGTAAGTACATTACCAACGATTCTATGTGAGTTACGAACGATTCTATGTGAGTTACTAACGATTCTATGTGGGTTACTAACGATTTTATGTAAGTTACTAACGACTTGATATGTGTTACCATCGATATGATGTACTAATGATTTCATTGATGTTTCTATTGAATAAATGTAATTTATCATCGCTTTTTCATTTGTTATTCCGACAATTTGAAGCGCGAATATTGCCTTAGTCCTATAAAATCTAAGGTTTTTTCATTCATTTTAAGGCCTGAATGCGTAAATGCATTTACAGCGCCTGAATTCTTACACGCATTCACTCTTTAACCGCAGCAAATCAGCCTACGTTGAGAAAATATTTAAATATGAGAGCGCACCCTTCAGGTAATTCCAGTTCACACCGCGACTAATGAATATATAACAACACAACAAACACCTGCATTCATTTTTCTCTTGTTTTTTTCTGGGGATGGTGCCGACATTCATTTATTTTGTTCGTGTGTTTGTGTGTTCTTTTTATTTTTTTTTTCACAAAGAACTTTGGTGATTAAGCGCTGATTTGATCAGCGAAAGCAAAAGTAAAAATTATTATAAAAGTGGTTTAAAAAGAAAAAAATGTCCCAAAACGCGCTTGAGCTACACACGTTTGATGATTAATTTTTGTTATCATTATCTTCCAGTTGCAGATGAAACGGATCAGCGATATTACTTAAAAAAGATATTGCTTATAAATGAAAATTTATAAAATATATACATTTTATAAACCATAAACCTATAAAATATATAAACAGTATATAAATTATTAAGCTTTAAAGTTTACATGCAGTTTCGCTGCAATTTATGTGACTTATTTACGAGTCACCTTATGTGACTCGTTAAGGGAGCTCTGAAAAAAATTAGCATCAAAACTTTCGGTATAAGCAATAGTTTGTGCAAAGGAAGTGAATTCGAAAATCAATAAACATGCGAATTATAAGCCATCCGTGCCTGGGTTCATATGGTAGGTTCCTCCTATAAATTCATGTTAATTTTATGTAAAATGTTTTCCTGCGGAGTACTCACTGCAATGAGCGTTGCTGTAGTAGGCACTAGGCACCATTGCACCAAATGGGCAGTGTCTCTTCAGTCGTGTTCGAGTGAGGTTATGTTGCAGCTGAGCACACTCTGGCCATCGAACTGTCCTTGCAAACATATACATACATTACGCATAGATGACAAATTCGGTGGCGGTGAATATATTAGCAAATTTCAGTCAATCTTGCTTCTGTATTGTAGTTCCACTTAATGTAATCAAATGAGTGGCGACCACCATTGCGTAACTGGGATTTTTCTTTCCATTTGACTTTGAGTTCTGCGGCGAGCTTTGGGTTTGCTTGACGTATTTTTTTTATTTTTGTCCCTGTTTTGTGTCGCACATTTTGAAACTCATGTCACGAACCTAGTATAATAAAAACTGATTTAGTTTTTCACACTATCTTCACCAGAATTGTTAATTGAAAATTTACTGCACTTGCATAATCATTTATTATGTTCTAAAAGTTGTACTTGAAAAATGGCTTTATTCATAATGCAATGGAAAATGTTTTTTTTTCATATTACGTAATAGGATATGAAAGAACCCAACTTTCATGTGTGATGAATTGGCTGGTGGAACACGGGAAAATAAATTGTGATAAGTAGAGTTAATATTTTATTTGGAACGTAAAAAAATCATATATATATATAGAAAAGTCACGTGTCAAGTTATGCAACAGACACGAAGAAACTTGAACTTGAAGAAGGAAGTAAATTCAAATTTGTGGCTATTCGGTGATAAAAAGTGTCATTAAAATAAATAAAAAAACGTAGAATAGTGTGCTATAGTAAAAATTTGGGGGTAAATAAAGCCATAAATTACCCTAGGTAAGTTTTTCTGAGTTGGTGTGTACAAAAGATAGTACAATAGTAAATTTAATGCAAGCTACTGATCGCGTTCTATTATAATTACTCAGCAGAAGTTGTCATAATAGAACATATGTAAACACAAAACCTGTTAAATTCAGAGCTAAAAATAATAGAAGCTGTTTATTAAAGAGCATACGTTACATATAATATCTTTGATTTGGTCCAAAATAAAAACATGTAAAGAGAAAAACTCTTCATCACATGACAGATATTCCCTTCAACATCAGACAATCACTCTGAAAAATTGAGGGAGTTTGTCCGAATAGCGATGCACTTCTTGCTTCCCGAGGCAGTTTTGCCGGCGTATCAGTGCTACAGAAAGTGTGTCAATATTTGGATAATGTCCCTATTCAATTTTCAGAGTGTAAGCCTTAATATTCAGAGCGACAGAAAGTGTGTCAATATTTATACAATAGTAACCATATATTTTTATGAGTATATCCCTAATATTCAGCCCTATATAAAACCTTGCCTAAAACAGAAGTACACCTAAAGCTACTCTCATACCTCTTATAGTCAAAGCTCTTTAATTGAAGAGCTATAACTTTTTAAACTCTGATATAGCACACTTAAAGCTCTAAAGATCATATAGTCAAAGCTCATTAAAGAGCTATAACTTTTGAACGTGGATATAGCTCTTTAAAGAGCACAGTGCTAGGTCACGATGACACGTTCCGCTGTGGGAGAGAGTTTAAAGACGGAGAGAGAAATCCTGCTGATATTTGCATAGGATCTTCAGTCTCGATCTTGCAAGCTGGATTTTATCTTCATCATTGCACTGCAGCAGCTTCCTACAACTCTTGCCCTATGGTGAGTATACAGGCTTCACTATTTATGCATGGGTACTTTTAGTTTGTATGAATTGCATGATCACTTGCATGATCAATCAATCAAAAATATAACTCAGCATTTACTGTAGTGAGTGACAGAGAGCGCATTTTCTCGTCAACGAAAACGTGAAGTCACGGACGGACAGACAGACAGACGGACAGACAGACAGACGAACAGACGGACGGACGGACGGACATGGCGAGCACAATAACGCTTTTTTCCCCATAAGTGAGAAAATGCGCTAAAAATGATAGCATCAATTGTGCCTACAAATTCGAAGTAACAGGCAGCAACAAGCACGTATATTAACCGCAGCCGTGAGCCAAATTTTACGTACCTTGCAGACGTCACACAAATGCACCTATAATTTTATAGCATGAATAGTTACTTAATGCGACCTACCGGGGGCAAAAGGGGGCACCCGCTCCTCCCTCCACCCACCGGTGGGGGAGGGGGGGGAGGGAGCGAGGGCCCTGGATGTAATGGACCAGCATGATTCCTGCCTTTCGGAACGTAGCCTTCAACACTTCAAGCCGTCCGTATCTAGGCCGTGGGTCGAACCAGCCCTCGGTCGAACGGCCACTTGTCGAAGGACGATAAATTTTGGAACAGAACTATACAACCTTGCGTGCAACACGCACAACCTTGCGTGCAACACGCACAACCTTGCATGCAATATGCGCAACCTTGCGTGCAACACGCACAACCTTGCGTGCAACACGCGCAACCTTGCGTGCAACACGCGTAACCTTGCGTGCAACACGCACAACCTTGCGTGCAGCACGCACAACCTTGCGTGCAACACGCACAACTTTGCGTGCAACACGCGTAACCTTGCTTGCAACACGCACAACCTTGCGTGCAACACGCACAACCTTGCGTGCAACACGCACAATCTTGCGCGCAACACGCACAACCTTGCGTGCAACACGCGTAACCTTGCGTGCAACACGCACAACCTTGCGTGCAACACGCACAACCTTGCGTGCAACACGCGCAACCTTCACCCTGGCCTCGGTGTGTTGCGCTAAAATTACCGTAAGGATTTTGGCGCGCAACGTGACTGTGTAGCGTGTGTGTGCGTGTGAAGGTCGTGTACGTTTACTGCGTGTCTGTATAAATGTGTTTGTTTGTTGTCGTGTTTGTATGAGATGTATACTTCACTGGGTATTGTTGTTATGCCCTCGCCTGTAATGATATGCATGCTTATAAAGGTATAGTATACGTTTTCTCATTTATCCTGTATTAATATCATACAATCTAATTGTCAATAAATTCATTCAGTTTGATCTTAGATATGTTATAGATATACATAGATATGTTTTATAGTGTAATTAATTATTATTTTAAATTAATCGTACCATTGTTGCCTTGGTAACCATTCATTGGCTACAAAATTATGCATTGTAATCATATTGCGTCCAGGATTGAATGAGTAACTAAACCATTTACTTGCTTAACTAAATCCATTCTTGAGTAATTTTCTTGATTCGATAGACGTCGGAAACAAATTAATCGTATTATTATCTTGATTAGTAGCCAAATTATCTTAGTTCACTGAGAAGCCCTGATGTTTTTCTTGGGAAAGTGCGTAGAAATATTAAATATCTTGGACAATGAAATGTTTAAATAATCATGTATCTTAGTGAGTTGCTCGAGTGTCTTAGTGAGTTACTCGAGTATCTTAGTGAGTTGCTCGAGTATCTTAGTGAGTTGCTCGAGTATCTTAGTGAGTTGCTCGAGTGTCTTAGTGCTGTCTCTTATACACATCTAGATGTGTATAAGAGACAGACTCTGGACTGCTCGGGGTTGCAGCGTGCAGAGGTTACTCTGGACTGCTCGGGGTTGCAGC